TCCTATTCTCTATTCTATTCTATTCTCAATAAAGATTCTATTCTATTTTCTATTCTATTTTATTCTATTTTCTATTCTATTCTTTCTCTCCTGTTCTATTGTATTCTATTTTATATTCTATTCTATATTCTCCTTTCTCTCCTATCCTTTATTCTATTCTATTCTATTCTATTCTATTCTATTCTATTCTATTCTATTCTATTCTATTCTATTCACATTTCTCTCTTCCCTTCCCTTCCCTTCCCTTCCAGCATCTCCAGGGCCACTGTCACTTTAAACAGCCACTAAACAAACAGCTTGTAAGTCAAGAGTTTATTTTAAACAGGGTTGGGTTCTCCAGCACAATTATGTGTAACGCAAAACTCGTGATTATACACACTGACGTAAGGACGCAACCGTCTTGTACTTGTTCTGAGTTTCTGGAACAGACCAAACTCTTGGGAAACCTCAAGGTGAATATATAACCAACGCTGTGAGTGCGGAGTCAATCAATCAGAATAGAGCTGGAAGGGACCTGGGAGGTCATCTAGCTTAGCCCCCTGCTGAAGCAGGAGAGCCTTCCAGAATCACAGAAGGGCAGAGTTGGAAGGAACCCTGGAGGTCATCTAGTCCAACCCCCTTGCTCAAGCAGGAGACCCTTACAGAATCAGAAAAGAACAGTGTTGGAAGGGGCCTCGGAGGTCATCTAGCCCAACCCCCTTTTTCGAGCAGGAGGCCTTATTCCATTTCAGACAAAGTCTCTTCATAAACCCCCCCCCTCCCGTCACAACTTCTGACGGCAAGCTCTTTCGTTGGTCAATTGACACACACTCCTTTTGCTCTCGTCACTTCCCCGGTTGTACAACTCTTTTGCTGAAACACACACACACACAAAAAAAATTGAGAACATCCTGGCCTCTCCCCGGTTGCCGGGACCCCGCTTCGAAACATGACAGTTGTGAGCCAAAGCCACACCAAAAGAAAAAAATAATTGGAAGGGGATTTTAAAAAGGACAAAAAAGGTGCTGAATGGTACATGGCAGCCAGCCAGGATGTTCAACCAAAGCGACAAATTCCTCGCATGCAAAGCAGAAATAACGGCTTTGTCTTCCCTCTGGTTTGAAGGAAATAAACCAGGTTTGACTGTTTATTGAAACGGTGGTGAAAAAGAACGCTTCCTTGGACTTTTTAGCCCGCTTCCACTTTGCCTCAATCAGGATGGTGCCCCTATTTCTGAAGAAATGGGGTGCAAGATTTCCAGCATGGTGAGCGAGAATAATAGAAGAGAATAGAATAGAATAGAATGGAATGGAATGGAACGGAACAGAATAGGTAGAAGAACAGAAAATAAAATAGAATGGAAAATAGAATAGAATATAATAATGGAAAATAATAGAATAGAATAGAATAGAATAATAGAATAACGGAAAATAATTAATATAATATAATATAATTAATATAATATAATATAATATAATATAATATAATATAATATAATATAATAATATAATATAATAGAATAGAATAGAATAGAATAGAATAGAATAACGGAATATAATAATATAATATAATATAATATAATATAATAATATAATTAATATAATATAATATAATATAATATAATATAATATAATATAATATAATATAATATAATATAATATAATATAATATAATATAATAAATATAATATAATATAATATAATATAATATAATAATATAATAATATAATATAATTAATATAATATAATATAATATAATATAATATAATATAATATAATATAATATAATATAATATAATATAATATAATATAATATAATATAATATAATATAATATAATATAATATAATATAATATAATAAACAGTGATGGCGAACCTTTTAGAGACTGAGTGCCCAAACTACAATCCAAAACCCACTTATTTATTGCAAAGTGCCAGGGCTGCATCAGCATTGTGGAGCCCTCGGGGGGGCGCGTGGCTGCAGTGGTCATGGCAGACTGGGTGAGCGTGGCCGGGGCCAGGGCAGTGGGGGCCAGTCCCTCGCCATCTCCGGGGCATCCCCGGAGGGCCAACACCGCTTGCTTGCTCAATTCCTGCCCTGTCGCTTCCAAATGCCACATGCTCGCTACTCTGGCGAACTCTGCTGGGGCAATGGCGTGCGTGCCGACAGAAAGGGCTCTGAGTGCCGCCTCTGGCACGCGTGCCATAGGTTCGCCACCACTGTAATATAATATAATATAATATAATATAATATAATATAATATAATATAATATAATATAATATAATATAATGGAATAGAATAGAATAGAATAGAATAGAATAGAATAGAATAGAATAGAATAGAATAACGGAAAATAAAATAGAATGGAAAATAATTAGAATAGAATAGAATAGAAAAGAATAGAACGGAACAGAATAGAAGAACGGAAAATAAAATAGAATGGAAAATAAAATAGAATAGAATAACGGAAAATAATAGAATAGCATAGCATAGCATAGCATAGCATAGCATAGAATAGAATAGAATAGAATAGAATAGAATAACGGAAAATAAAATAGAATGGAAAATAGAATAGAATAGAATAGAATAATGGAGAATAATGGAAAATAATAGAATAGAATAGAATAACGGAAAATAAAATAGAATGAAAAATTAGAATAGAATAGAATAGAATAGAATAACGGAAAATAAAAGAATGGAAAATAGAATAGAATAGAATAACGGAAAATAATAGAATAGAACGGAATAGAATAGAAGAACAGAAAATAAAATAGAATGGAAAATAGAATAGAATAGAATAATGGAAAATAATAGAATAGAATAGAATAGAATAACGGAAAATAAAATAGAATGGAAAATAGAATAGAATAGAACAGAACAGAACAGAAGAACGGAAAATAAAATAGAATGGCAAATAGAATAGAATAGAATAGAATAACGGAAAATAATAGAATAGAATAGGATAGAAGAACGGAAAATAAAATAGAATGGAAAATAGAATAGAATAGAATAACGGAAAATAATAGAATAGAATAGGACAGGACAGGATAGAATAGAATAGAATAACGGAAAATAGAATAGAATAGAATAGTTGGAAGGGGTCTGGGAGGTCATCTAGTCCACCCCCTGCTCGAGCAGGAGATCCTTACAGAATCATAATAGAACAGAACTGAAAGGGACCTTTATAGATCTTTTAGTCCAACCCCCTGGTCAAGGAGAAGAACCTTATATAATCATGGAAAAACAGAGTTGGAAGGGACCTCGGAGGTCATCTAGTCCAGCCCCCTCCGCTCGAGCATTTCCTCCAGTCAATTTTCTGAACCACCTTCCCCTTTGGTATTCACACAACTGTCTGAACCCAGCAAGGAGCCTGACCCGCTTCTGGGTTCCCCCTGCACGCGTTAAGCACACAAGGCTGCGTTCACACAACCCAGGAAGCCTCCACAGACACGAATCAGGGTGAATTCCGCTCTCCGTGTTTTTTTTTTCTCCCCCTTTTGCACGGGTCAGAGAACGGCGGGAGAACCCTGATCCATCTCCTCCTTGACACGCTTTTTGGTCTTTTTTTTGCGTGTCGTGTGAACCCGCCTTGGGTTAAAAAAAAAAAAGCGGGAAAAAAAGGGCCTCAATCGCCTCACATTCCACGTCCGGTCACCTTGGCAACCCGGTCACCAAGGCAGCCAATGTCGCCGTCCGATTGGCCGGCGGCCGCTATGACGTCAGTGAGGCGGGTTGAAAAAAAAAACCCAACCATCCACTACCTGACGGCCGAAAGGCTTTCTGGGAGCGTCTCAACCTTCGAGGCCCTTTTATGACTCGGGGACTTCATCTCCCAGGATTCCTCGGCCGGCGTGCCCGGCTGAGGAATTCTGGGACTTGAAGTCCACCAGTCATAAAAGCGCCAAGTTGGAAGATCTCTGGTTCAAGAGCCTTTGAAGAAAGAAAGGCGAGGCCGACCGAGAGGAAAAGGCGGGGTTTTGAAGCGGAAGTGCGTCACCGCTTGGGAGGGCGGGGACTGACGTTGAAAGACACGGGGCCTCCTGAGCCCGCCTCGATTAGAAAGCCGGCCGGCGAACGAGAAGGAAGCGCGGAAGATAAAGCGGAGGTGAGTGTCGGGGGAGGGCCGAGGCGAGCCCGGCAAGGCCTCGCGGCAGCTCTCCGGCCATTTTCCCCGGGGCCGGTGGGAAACGGGACTACCTCTCCCATCATCCCCAGCCAGTGTGTATTGGGGGGTTGCGGTTCCCATCATCCCCGTCCGCGGGTCCAAGGCCAGGCCAGGCTGTGCTGAAAGATCCGGCCTGCTTTTTTTTTCTTTTTGTGGGGCAGAATGCGGGTCAAGAGGGTCGTGGGAACGCCTCCCCAGGTCTTGCGTGTCAGGTCTTAGCCCGACACGGGTCTGGAGGGAAAAACGTGTCTGGGCTTCTAATAAGGATTTGGGGGGGGCAGGGGGAGATCCTGATTGTGTATCTTCTATTAATTGCATTGTCCTATATCATATAATAATGTGGGAAGGGGCCTTGGAGGTCATCTAGTCCAACCCCCTGCTCAGGCAGGAGACCCTATCCCATTTCGGACAAAGGGCTGTAATTTCTATAATTTAGAAATTTCAATCTGCATATAAAATCTATATGTATATCTATATATATCTATATTATATATGTGTGTATATGTATCTATATATATGTATAAATATATCTGTATACATATCTATATAGCTATATATATGTATAAATCTGTACATATATATAGCTACGAAAACAAATATATATCTGTATTTATATATATCTATATATATATGTATATGTATATATGTATAAATATATCTGTATAAATATATGTATGTATAAATCTGTATATAATAAATAATAATAATAATAATAATAATAATAATAATAATAATAATAATAATAATAATAAAGTTGGAAGGGACCTCGGAGGTCATCTAGTCCAACCCCCTGCTCAGGCAGGAAACCCTATACCATTTTGGACAAATGGCTGTCCAGTCTCTTCTTAAAAACTTCCAGTGTTGGAGCATTCACCGCTTCTGGAGGCAGGTTGTTCCACTGGTTAATAATATAAATTATATATATAGATATACACACACATTTTTATAAAACATTTATATATAGATATAAAATAAGCTATATTATATGATTTTCAATTCAATCAAACAACCATACCCATATATATGCACACACACACACACACACACACACAGAGAGAGAGAGAGAGAGAGAGGAGTGTCTGTCTTTGTGTATTATATGTTGTAAAAGTACCCAAGGTCAGTTAAGTGGGAAGGGCGATGTAACTTACTACAGAAATTGTGCAATTGTAATTTTAGTGCTTTTGATATTCATTTTTTATTATACTTTTTGTAAGCTGCCCTGCTTCATCCATTTAGAGGGGGTAGCGTATCAATTTAATACATCCCTCAACTATACCTGTCTAAAATTTAAATGTAATCCATCAATTCGTTGTAAATTGAAATGGAAGAAACCAGTACTATATATATAATTTAAATTTAATATGTTATATGTATGTGTGTATACACACACACACACACACACACACACACATTTATATGAAATTATTAAATCGATGTATATAAATTTAAACTTAAAACACGTACGTAAAATGTAATATCGTAAATCAGTGTTGTATCTAAATTTAATCAATACATTATATGTAGAGATATAAAACTTTAATCAATACTGTACATATAATTTAAATCATATCTGTGTGTGTTTCTGTGTAATTGAAATTTAATCAATATATGTATACATTTAAATTTAATCAGTACTATATATATAATTTATATGTATGTTTGTGTAATTTTAATTCAGTACAGTTTATATATATATATATACATGGATACATCTATCTATCTATCTATCTATCTATCTGTCTATCCACTCAAGCTATTTTTCTGTCTGTCTGTCTTATCTATCTATCTATCTATCTATCCATTCAATCTATTTCTGTCTGTCTATCTATCTATCTATCTATCTATCTATCTATCTATCCATTCAATCTATTTCTGTCTGTCTATCTATCTATCTATCTATCTATCTATCTATCTGTCTATCCACTCAAGCTATTTTTCTGTCTGTCTGTCTTATCTATCTATCTATCTATCCATTCAATCTATTTCTGTCTGTCTATCTATCTATCTATCTATCTATCCATTCAATCTATTTCTGTCTGTCTGTCTATCTATCTATCTATCTATCTATCTATCTATCTATCTATCTATCTATCTATCTATCTATCTAGTGATCGTTCAGAATCACAACGGCATTGGAAAAAGGGACTTAGAACCGTCGTTTCACCCTTATGACCTTTGCAGCCGTCCCCAAGGTCACGTGATCAAGATTCAAACCACTGACTCACATTTACGACAGTCCCTGGGTCACATGATCCCCTTTTGCGACCGTCTGACAAGCAAAGTCAGGGGGGAGAGCCCAGATTCACTTAAGAACCGGGTTACTAAGTTAATGGTGGGAGTGATTCTCTTAATAACTCTGACCGGAAAGGTCGTAAAAAAGGGACAAAACTCACTTAGGACAAATGTCTCACTTAGCGACCTAAATTTTGGGCTCCCATCCTGGCCGTAAGTCAAGGGCTCCCTGTGCTAACAAACGTGGCCCTTGTGGACTTCAACTCCCAGGATTCCTCAGTCGGCCATTTTGATGAAACTGCGGGCTTGGATCCAGACTCTCAGGGGTCTTCCAACTTGGCCCTTTTATGACTGGTGGACTTCAACTCCCAGAATTCCTCAGCCGGGCATGCTGGCTGAGGGATTCTGGGAGTTGAAGTCCACCAGTCATAAAAGGGTCCAAGTTTGAAGGCCCCTGGCATAGATTCATCTCATAAGGGTGGAAGAAAAAAGGTTGTCCGTTAGGGCTAAACCCGCCTCACTTAACGACGGAAATATGAGGGACAGTTGTGGTCGTAAGTTGAGGACTTCCTGAGATCACCCGCCCCCCAGATAGGAGGCATCTGAATGCTTCAGAATAACAGGGTTGGATGGGACCTGGGAGGTCATCTAGTCCAGCCCCCTGCTCAAGCAAGAGATCTTTACAGAATCATAGAATAACAAGATTGGAAGGGACCTGTGAGGTCATCTAATCCAACCCCCTGCTCGAATAGGAGACCCTTACAGAATCATAGAATGACAGAGTTGGGAAGAACCTTGGAGGTCATCTAGTCCAGCCCCCTGCTCGAGCAGGAGACCCTTACAGAATCATAGAATAACATTTGGAAGGGACCCTGGAGGTCATTTAGTCCAGCCCCCTGCTCGAGCAGGAGACCCTTACAGAATCATAGAATAACATTTGGAAGGGACCCTGGAGGTCATCTAGTCCAGCTCCTTGCTCGAGCAGGAGACCCTTACAGAATCATAGAATAACAGGGTTGGGAGGGATCTTGGAGGTCATCTAGCCCAACCCCCTGCTCCATTCCAGACTAGTGCCTGTCCCATCTCTTCTTAAAAACCTCCAGTCTTGTCAAACCCACATCTTGTGGCAAGCTGTTCCACTGGTTAATTTCCCTCCTTATTTCTCCTTATTTCTTGCTTGATTTGATTAAAATCCCTTTTTTTATTTCCAATGGAATGCTTCTCTTGAAAATCCGGGTTGAATTTTGGGGTTGTTTTTTTTTTTTTTAAAAAATAGGAATTAAGTCAAGGACGGTGGCAAGGTGATTTTTTTTTCTTCTTTTTAAAGTTTGCACAATCACTTTGCAAGGATTGTGAGTCACAATCCGGGCAAGGGAGGGATTTACTGAAGCAATTTTGCACAATGACGCAACGGTTTGTCGCTCACATCCGGCTGAGATACTCTGATGAAATTAGGGAAGGAAATAGTTGGCGGGAAATGAAGTCAGAAACTGGAGCACAAGAAGATTTTTTGTTGTTGTTGTCGTTTCTTTTGGGGAAAGTTTCCTGCATCGATTGATTGCATTTTGCCAGATTCACAGGTAGTCCTCGGGGTTATGACCACAATTCAGACAATTGACTCGTATTTACAACGGTGGCTGTGTGCCAAGATCATGCAATCTTTTTTTTTTCTTTTTGCGAGCTTCAAACCAGCGGGAAGCCTGATTTCCCTTAACGACTGTGTGATTAGCTTAACGATGGCAGTGATTCGCTTAAGAACCATGGGAAGAAAGGTGGTTAAATGGGGGGGCAAAACGCCCTTCGTCAGTATCTGAGTGGCGCCGTTGTGGGTTTGTGAGGATGATGCAATGCTCGTAAGTGGGAGGACTGGGGGCAGCCGGCTTTTTTTCCCCTGCTGATGGGACTTGGGACTGTCACTGGACGGGACGGTCGTAAATCGAGGACTGCCCTCAGATGTGCCCGTGAGGATGCTTCGACCCACGTAAATGGGAGGACTGGGGGCAGCTCACTTTTTTCACGGCCGTTGTGACTTTGGACGGTCATTAAGTGAACCATCGTAAGTCGAGGACTGCCCTCATGTGTCCTTGAGGACGCTGCGACCTCATAAGTGGGAGGACTGGGGACAGCTCACTTTTTTCACGACCAGTTACTAAACAGACGGTCGTAAATTGAGGACTGCCCTCATGTGTCCGTGAGGACGCTGCATCCCTCGTAAGTGGGAGCATGGGGCAGCTCACTTTTTTCACGATCGGTCACTGAGCGGACGGTTGTAAGTAGGAGGACTGCCCTCATATCTGTCCGTGAGGACGCTGCGACTCTCGTAAGTGGGAGGACTGGTGACAGCTCACTTTTTTCACGACCAGTTACTAAACAGACGGTCATAAATCGAGGACTGCCCTCATGTGTCCATGAGGACGCTGCGACCCTCGTAGGTGGGAGGACGGGGCAGCTCACTTTTTCACCACCGGTCACTAAACGGACAGTCGTAAGCGGAGCACTGCCTTCATATGTCCCTGTGAGGACACTGGTGCTTGTAAGTGGGAGGACTGGGGGCAGCTCACTTTTTTCACGACCGGTCACTAAACGGATGGTCGTAAGTGGAGGACGGCCCTCAGATGTGCCCGTAACTTAATAACGGCAGTGATTCACTTAAGAACCGTGGCAAGAAAGATGGTCAAATGGGGCAAAAGGCCCTTCTCCGATGTCTCGTTTGACAGAAATTCCAGGTGCCTTTGTGGTCGCAAAACGATTGCCCGCTACTGGGTCTGTGAGGATACTGCAACGCTCGTAAGTGGGAGGACTGGGGACAGCTCACTTTTTTCACGACCGGTCACTAAACGGACAGTCGTAAGTGGAGGATGGCCCTCATATGTTGCCGTAACTTAACGAGGGCAGTGATTCACTTAAGAACCGTGGCAAGAAAGGTAGTCAAATGGGGCAAAAGGCCCTTCACCGATGTCTCGCTTGACAGAAATGTCAGGCGCCTTTGTGGTCGCAAAACGATTGCCCGCGGCTGGGTCTGTGCAGATACTGCGACGCTCGTAAGTGGGAGGACTGGGGGCATTTCACTTTTTTCATGACCATTCACTGAACGGACGGTCGTAAGTGGGAGGACTGCTCTCATATGTGTCCGTGAGGACACTGCAACCCTCATAAATAAAAGGACTGGGGGCGGTTCACTTTTTTCACGGCCGTTGTGACTCCGGACAGTCACTAAGCGGATTGTCGTAACACGAGGACCATCTGTATTTTTGAAAACTTTTTTTTCCCTCCTAGGTAACCTTTTGTGGATTTGTTTCCTCACAACGACCATGGCCTCCCCTTCGGAAAAAGTCTTCCCGGTTTACGACGAAACATCGACTTCGAAGCTGCTCCGGAAATCGAAAGAAATGCCCTTTGTCCCGATCGGTAAGTCCGTCTTCCACTGGCTGGTTCCTCGGAGCCTGCCCGATGGTGTCTCGAACCTTGACCCCTTGGACTCCAACTCCCATAATTCCCCACAACTCCCAAGGGCCGGTCTTGAGAGACTCTGCCCTATTCAGGTAGTCCTCCACTTAACGACCACAATCGGGGATCGGATAGGGTTTTTGAGGGTTTTTTGCGGTTGTTGAGTCACGCCTGGTTTTTTTTTTTGGAACGACCTTTCTGCGGAGGTCATTAAGCAAGTCGCACCCACGGTCCTAAGTTGAGGACCGCCTGTATTTCAGAAGTCATTGGTGGGGTTGAGGGGGCCGATGCGGTTGGGCGTCTCCCAGGTTGGGCAGGAAAGTTATGATCCTTCCTCCTCCATACACCTCCTTCCCCCCTTCCTTCCTTCCTTCCTTCCTTCCTTCCTTTTTCCCTCTCCACACATTTCCTCCCTTCCTCTCTCCTCCTCTCCCCTCTCTTCCTTTCTTATCCCTCCCTTCATTATCCTTCATTATCCCCTACTCCCTTATTTATCCTTCCCTCCCTTCTTCCCTCCTTCTCCACACCATCTTCCTCCATCTCTCCCTTCCTTCCTTCCTTCCTTCATTTATCCCTCCCTCCCTTCCTCTCT